CCCTTTTTTTACTTCCCCCTTTACAATATCTGTGTCTCAGTATCCCTACCCTACAGTCCCTTTTAATTTTCCCAGTTCCTGCAGCTACATCATATTATATATTCACATCTGATGATTCAGAACTAGGATCCACAAATAAGAAAGGATGCGGGATGTTTGTCTTTTTAGGTCTGAGTTCATATTTTCCACCTCCAGTTGTTCACCTGCAAATATCAAGATTTTTTTTACAGCTAAATAGTATTCCACTGTGTATATTAACACATTTCTGTTATCCATTTGTCAGGTCAAGGACATTTAAGTAGTTTCCATTTTCTAGCTGTTGTAAGAAAGCAGCAGTGAATATGACTCATCCTGTATCTGTGACATAGGATACTGTGTCTTGGATACCTACCAAGGAGTGGTATGGCCAGGCTTCATGGTAGATCTACTCTAGCATTCTGAGAATTCTCCAAACTACTTTCCATAGTAACATAGCCAATTTACACTCACATCAGCAGTGAGCAAGGTTCTCCTTTCCCTGTAACCTTACAAGTATTTGTTGATTTCTTGATTTTCATCCATTCTGACTAGGGCAAGATGAAATCTTGGTTGTTTTCATTTGTATTCCCTAATTTCTAAAATTGTTCAACACTTTTCGAAATATTTCTTAAGCTATTTTGTATTTTCTTTTGAAAACTAAATTCAGATCCACAGCCCATTTTTAAGTTAGTTATTTGTCTTTGTATTGTTTGCTCTTTAAATTCTTAAAGTATTCTAAATATTAACCTTTAGTCAGATGTATACCTAGCAAAAACTTTGTCCCATTTTATGAGCCTCCTCTTCATGCAATTGATTTTTTTCTTAAGAGTGCAAAAGCATTTTAGTTTAATGAGATCTAATTGACCAACTATTGACTTTAGTTCCTGAGCAAATGCCCACAGTCCTTTCCTATACTTCTGTGGTTCCCAACCTTCCTAATGTGCAATCCTTTAATACACTTACTCATATTGTGGTGACCCACAACCATAAAATTATTCTGTTGCTATTTTATAACTGTAATTTTGCTACTGTTATGAATTTTAATGTAAATATCTGATATGTAGAATATCTGATATGTCCAAAGGGGTTGTGACCCACAGGTTGAGAGAATATTGTAGGGTACTACCTATGTTTTCTTCTAGCACTTTTAGTGTTTAAGGTTTAACATTTAGGTCTTTGATCCATTTGAAGTTAATTTTTGTGAAAGGTAGTTGATAAGGTCTAATTTCAATCTTCCTCTAGTGGACATCCAGTTTTCCCAGCACCACTTGTTGCAGATGCTGCCTTTTCTTCAATGTGTATTTTCGGCATCTTTGACAAACATGAGAGCTTAATAATCAACACTCATTTAGATCTTCTATTTTGTTATATTGATCTGCATAGTTTTTCCAGTACCTTGATGATTTCATTATTACACTTTTGTAATGTATCTTGAACTCTGGAACCGCAATTTCTCCAATGTTGTTCATTTTAGCACATGGTCAATGTGGTAATAACAAGTCTTTTGTGGGTCTCTATGAATGTAAGGATTTAGTGTCCATTTCTGTGGAGAATGTTGTAGATATTTTGATTAGGTTTATATTGAATCTATAAATTCCTTTTAATGGGATAGTCATTTCACAATATTAGTTCTACCATGAAAATAAGAAGACTTTCCATCTTCTAGTGTATTCTTCTGTCACTTTTTGGAGAGATTTAAAGTTTTCATTGTAAAGATTTCTAACTCCTTATTCATGAGTGTGATCGGTTGAGTTATTATTGTTGGTTTGGTTTGGGTTGGTTTGGGTTTTTTTATTTTTAACTTGTTTTTTAAGGCTACTGCTATTGGAGCATAAGTTTGTAATTGATATATAGAGAAGGTTACAAGGTGTTTTTTTTAACTTAATTTTATATCCTGCCATTTTGTTGAGATCTTTGATTGTTGCAAGGAGTTTTCTGGTAGAATTTTTGGGATCTCTTATGTATAATATCATATCATCTGAAAAGAGGGAAAATTTGACTTCCTATCTGTATCTCTTAGATTTTCTTCTCTTGTCTTGCTCCAGCAAGTCCTTCAAGTACTACACTGAAAAGACCTGGAATAGTAGACAATCCTATCTCATTCCACAGTGTAATTCTGGATTGCTTCATGTTTTTCTTCTTTTGGGATACTGTTGGCTGTGCATATGTTTTATATAATCTTTACTATATTAATGGATGTTCCCTCCAGTCCTACTCCATCTAGGACTTTTACTATGAGGGCTTGTTGGGTTTTGTCAAATGCCTTTTCTGCCTCTATTAAGATGATCATATGATTTTTGCCTAGGAACCTATTTATGTTATGTATTACATTTATTGACTTGTGCATATTGGAACCATCTCTGCATTTCTAGGATAAAACAAACTTGAGCATAATGGATGATCTTGATAAATGTCTACATTGAGGCTACTTGTATCTATGTTCATTAGTAATATTGATCTGTAGTTTGGATTTTCATTTCATCTTTACTTAGTTTTCCTTTGTTTGGGGGTTTTTGTTATTGTTTTGGGTTTGTTTGTTTGTTTTGTTTTGTGGTAGGTTTTTTTGTTTTTTTTGTTTTTTTTGTTTTTTGCTTTTTTAGAGTAATATTGCTTCATTGAACAAGTTTCAAAGTGATCCTTCAATTTATATTGTTTTATATAATTTTAAAATATAGTTATTCTCTGAAAATCTGGTAGTATTCTACTGTAAATCCACCTGGGCCTGGGCTTTGTTTTTAATTAAAAGGGTGTTATTACTATTGCTACTACTACTACTGCTACTACTAATATTACCTATTATATTACCGTTACAATCTCTTCTTTTGTTGTGGATCTGTTTAGATTTTTACTTCTTTTTGGTTTAACTTTGGTATTTGACAAATCAATAAATTCATTCATTTCCTTCAAACTTTCCAACTTAATGGAATACAGGTTTTTAAAGTATTCCCTTATCTGAATTATTTTGGTCTATTAGACTGTTGTAACATTTCTCTGTTCTTTTCTGATTCTTATATCTTCTCCAAGAACAAGCTCTTAGAATCAATATTCTTTGTATTATTTTCTCTGTTTCTATTTCATTATTTTTGCTTTACATTTTATTATTTCTTTCTATCTACTGAGTTTGGGTTTGTTTTGTTCTTCCAAATTCTTTGAGTTGCATCAATGGATCATTTATCTGTATTTTTTTTCAATGTATGATTATAGACTTCCCTGTTTGAAATGCATTTATGTGAGTCCCAGAAGCTTTGTTTTCATTTTGATTTAGTTCCAGAGCACAACTGATTGTAATTAAGCTGCTGATGATCTCTGACTCCCCAGCCAGAATGTTACAGATCTTTTAAGCTTGAAAACCACAGACATCTGTGCCAAATTACAGTCACATTTTTCTACCAATCAGGATTTAGGGATGAGGGACTTCCTTAGGAACATGTCTTTGTGATACACTTTTCCTGTTATCATTGGCTGCGTTATTCAACTGTGGCAGGGTGACTTGCCTAGCATTCATGTTTCAACTTGCCAATCAGGGTGTCTATTACCCAGGGAGGCCTTGGGAATTTAAATTTTATTTGACCCCTATTCAAAATGGAAGTTTTATTCAAATGGCTTCAGTTTGGTTCCTTCTTACATTTCTTGGTTTGTTCTTTGATCAATTAATCATTTAGTAGTAAGATTTTTTATTTCCATTAGTTTGTATACTTTTTAGAGTTTTGTTGGCTGTTGATTTTAAGTTTTATTGGATGATGGTCAAATTTGGGATACATGGGGGTTATTTCATTTTTTTCTGTATTTGTTAAGGTTTGTTTTGTATTCTAGCATATGGTCTATTTCAGAGAAGCTTCCATGTGCTGGTGAATAGAATCTGTATTCTTTGATGTTTAGGTGGAATATTCTGTAGATATCTGTTAGGTCCATTCAAAGTAAGATGCCATTTGATCCTGAGGTTTCTCTGTCCAGATGACATGTTTACTGGAGAAAGTGAAGTGTTGAGATCAACTACTATCATTGAGTTTGTGTAATAGTAGGTTCTTTGTGGAATTGGGTTCACCAGAGGTTGACATATATGTTTAATCTTATAATCTTATCCTGATGAATTATTTCCTTGATTAGAATGAAGTGCCCTTCTTCGACTCTTCTGATTAGTTTTAGTTTGATTTTATTTGTCATATATTGGGTTGACAACACCTGCTTGATTCCAGATTTCATTTGCTTGGAATACTTTTTTCTATTTTAAGGTGGTTCCTATCTTTAAAGATAGAAAGGTCTCTTATAAACAACAGAAAAAATGGACTTTGTTTCTTAACACATTCAGCTAACCTAGTCTTTTGGTTGGAAAGTTGAGACCACAACTGTTTAGAGTTACTATTGAAAGATGTGTGTGACTTTTCTCCTCTGAGCAGGTGCCGCCCCCCGCCCCCCCCCCCCCAGTATCCCCTCACCCTGGCACTTCAATTCTCTGCAGCACTATGTGCTTCCTCCCCAGAGGAAGCCAGTCAAGGCAGCCCAGCTAGGAGAACATATCCCATGTACAGGCAGCAGTTTTTGTGATAGCCTCTGCTCCTGTTGTTTGGGACCCATATGAAGGCCAAGCTACACATCTCCTATATGTGCGCAGGGACAAGGATAATTTTTAAGATTATAAGAATAATCATAATCTTTCCTGAGATTAGATGTTAATGGTTTTTAATTGTCATATATTTTTTAAATTATAATGTCTTTGATCTTCTAATATGTCAAACACACAGAATCATCTGGTAGATACAACTAGACAGTGGTTGTTAAGTCATGGTTTTCTATCAAATTGTATGGGTACCAAAGTTAAACAGCAGTCTGATCCTGTATTAAGAAGAACTACAGTCTCTTTAATTATTTCCAAAGTACTCCTGTATTCTCTAGGAATCCAGAGTGACATTAAATCATGCTTTCATTTGCAAGTTGTAATTCTTAATATTCTCTTCACTCATTTTAGCTTTGTTTTCTTTTAGTTCTGAGCAAGACAAAGAAGAATGGATCAAGGTACCTCTTTTATTTTATTTTTGGTTTTTTGCCTCTGTGCATAAGAAATGTATTCATTGGGGCCTGGAGAGATAACTGGGCTTAGTTTCCAGGACTTACATGGCAGCTCCAAATTATCTATAACTCCAGTTCCAAGGATGCAATGTCTTCTCACCTCTGTAGACACCAGACATACACGTGTTGTAAAATACATATGGCAGGCAAAACATTCATAAAATAATTTTTTAAAAAATGAATATATACATATTTAGATTTCTTAAATATATAAGAAGTTCACTTAACTTTAAAGATAATTCTCATTATAGTTAGTTATGTAATAAAGCGTATCTATTAATGTGTGTATGATACTACAGTGTATGTTTTTAATTTAATTTACATTTTAGGCCCTTCAAGAGAGTATTGATGCTTTTCATCAAAGACATGAAACCTTCAGAAATGCTATTGCAAAGGAAAATGACATTCCCCTAGAAGTTTCTGTAAGTTCTTAACTTTAAGATCTTTCATTTCTTGTGTTTTCAAAAGTGCTATCTAGTCATTTCATTAATGAACCTTTTCCCTTACAATCCCAAAGTAAGTTGTTAAGAAATAATGTCCCCCCAAACAGGTATTAAATTAACAGTCTGGCAAGCCAAGGATGGGTAAGATTCTGCACAGAGCTTTACCAACCTAAGACAGAAATGCATTCCTTTTGATAATGCATATTCCATGATGGGTAAGGAAGGAATTCTTGTCAGAACAACCTAAAACAGGCTCAGTCTTGTTAATGAAATAAAAAAGGGGGAGAGGCAGAGAGCCTTTGGGGCTGCTTGGCAAGAATCTGATATGAGCCAAAGACAAGGAAGTAGGCTTCAGGCAGGAATCTGACATTAGGCTAGAACAGAGAAGTAATTTCAGACAGGAATCTAAATATTAGGCTAGTACAAAGAAGTAATTTCAGACAGGAATCTAAATTTTAGGCTAGAACAAGGAAGTAGGCTTCAGACATGAAAATAACTTTGGGTTAGGACAGGGAAGTTGGCTCAGATATTTTGGTCATCCTGATAAGCCCTTAGAAACAGTTATCACAGGAGTGTTCACATAATTGGGTCTAATGCCTTGCTTTTTCTTTGACTATTTGTGTTTATTGTCTTGCTTGTTCCTTGACTATTTCCATCTGTTGTATCGCTAGACCCTCAACCTAGAACTGACCTTAATACTTGCATGTAATTAAAATGGTATAAAACCATAAAGGAGGAGGGGGGATGGGATAGGGGATTCTAGGAAGGGGAAATGGGGAAAGCAGATTACATCTCTATTGTAACTAAATAAGATACCCAATAAAAAATTTAAAAAAAAGAAATAATGTCATTCTCTCTTAAGTGTCTAGAAGTGCTTTGAAATTTTTATGTCCTTTCCTAGATCTTGAGTATCAGAACATGGTTTGAACAATAGTGGTAATATGCTATTAAAAGGAATGATAGACTGGGCAGTGGTGGCTCATGCCTTTAATCCTAGCACTTGGGAGGCAAAGGCAGGCAGATCTCTGTGAGTTCAAGGCCGTCTGGTCTACAGAGTGAGTTCCAGGGCAGCCAGGACTATACAGAGAAACCCTGTCTCAAAAAAAACAACAACATCAACAACAACAGAAAAGGAATAATTTTTTGTTATATTAAAAGTTATCCTGTCTTTCCCATTTAGACAGCTGAGCTAGGAAAACGAGCCCCAAGATGGATACGTGATAACGAAGTGACCATGTGCATGAAGTGCAAAGAGTCCTTCAATGCACTGACCAGAAGGCGGCATCACTGTCGGGCATGTGGACATGTGAGTGAGGCATCTTCATTGTCACAGTTGTTAGTAATGGTATATCAGGGAAATAAAATCATCAACCTAGAAACAAAGAAACCATTAACAATCACTTAGTTGGGAAGTGTGTTAGGAGCTAACTGTATACAAAATACTGTGCCATCCCATGAAGAAAATGAATATGGTCAACAAAATAACTCCTGGCTTCATGGAGATTATATTGTAAAGAAGAATAGATGAGAATTCAAATAAGTATGTATGAAATAAGAAAGAATCAGAAAGTTGAATTGGAGAGTATTAGTAATAGAAGAAATCAGACCAAATTTAATTAGAGAAAAGAAGACCTATATGAGCGAGGAATATTTGCTTAGATGTCTAAAAGGAAGAAATGTCTTCATCTTAGCAGGTGAATCAAGAGGAGCTTTGCACACCTCCCTTCAGTAGGACAGCCCTTATCCCTGAGTGAAATTGCTAGGAAATCCTGTGGCTGGACATGGTAATTTAAAAAAAAAATGTGGCAGGGATGTAATTAGAGTGTTAATAGTCAAAGAAGCCAATGTGTTTGAAAAGGCAAGAGATGGAAACTGCGGTACAGGTGAAAGTTACAGGTTTTGCAGGGCAGGGCAAAGTCTTCTCGTTGAACAGAAGGGAGAAAAACAGGTGCAAGTATGATAAGTGAATTGGATGGGATTTTACTGTTTGGGCATGTTAGTAGTGAGAAGTGTGGGTGTTTAAGGTCCGTGTTATATTTTTATTGAGTTGGACAGAATGGTCAGTTGAAAGTAAAGGAGATAGGGATGTGTATGTGAGAGAAAGCGGAGAGAAAGTGGAAGTTACACTGGCACAGGTGGACTTATTACCCTTTGGAAATTTTTTGTTAGAAATCCAGACAGACATCAGGCAGCTTAACAGCGCTGATTTTTTTTTCCATCCCAGAATTCAGCAATGAAGGCCAGAGAAGGTAGAGGATGAGGTTCATGAAGAATAGGTGTAATGAAAACACAAAGGAGAATTGTAGATGCCTGCCATAGGTAAATAAGGGAAGTCATGACTGAATATTGGAAACAAAGATTTCTGTAGTCCAATGCCTCATGGTAATGGACAGCTGGGAGCAAGTTGGAAAAATGAGGCATGTTGGGGATTGAAGAACAGGTATTCCAGGTTGGTACTGAGTCCCTGGTGATGATACATTTGTTCAGTGGGTGACCCTAAAAGCAAAAAGCTAGAGTAGGCTGCCTAAGAATGGCACTAGCAGCAGACACCTAAAAAGTCTGAGTCAATAAGGTAGTTATGTGAATGCTAAAACACCAGGCACTGGAGTGGGCTAATTATATGTTCTATCACATTAGATCACAGATGCTATCATTTTGAGTACTCTCAAGCCCACTGCTTGAGATGCTACTGGGACGTTGGTAGGCCTGGGAAAATAAGCAGAAACCCTGAGGCAGAAATTGAGGCACAATGGGGTTAATTCTGTCTCTGAGATGAGGATGGGTAATGTGGTCCCAGCTACCTCCTCTGGTGACATGGCAGCCTATCAGGCAGCTCAAGTCTTAACTTCTTCTTTATACTTAAAGTTTCCTGCTTTTCTTTTCCTGACATTGAGATTAAATGTAGTGAGGCAGTTTGTAATCAAACTTAAATAATAAGAAAAACAACTATCTCAGGATAAACTGTTTAAACTGATATTTGGGGTTGTTTATGCAGGTACTGGCATACTTGAACTTTGATCAACAGATAAAAAGTATTTGTATATAGATTATCAAACACGATATTATTTGAAAATAAAATAGTTGAATTGAGTTCACAAATACATGTATGTCTACCACTAAACCTCCAAAGTAATTTTGTTGTGATCATGAGAAAAACGTGGTACATATCAAGGTTGGGTAGAAATTGAACCCAAGGCTTTGAACAGCAGGTCTGTGTTCTACCACTGAGCCACACCGTTAGCCTTTGACCATTGTTTTTATGTATTTCAATTGCTAGGAATCTACTACATAAAGCCCACACATTTTTAAGTGAACTTTATCTACTATAAATATGAGGGAAAAGTACTTTCCTAAGCAAGAAAATAATTACTTAAACCTAAAAAATTTCTAGACAGTGGTAATAATTTGAAAAGCACCATTTACTCATATGCATTTGCGTTATGCTCATCTACTCATTGATATTCTGTAGCTGTTGTGTGTGGTGAACAAAATATTCCATAACAATCTCCTGTAGAGCTTTATAGGAGATGGACAAGTAATATACAAGTCTATAGTTAAAAGCTTCACCATAGTCAGGCTCTGTTCTAAACACTGAAGGAACCTTCTTCCAGAAAGAAGAAGGAAACATGAGACTTCAAGGACTGTAAGAGGTGTAAGAAGAAAGGAACTTGGCATTTTGGGGATATAGGAAGTCAGTGCCATTGAAGATAGGCCAATCATATGTAATATATATTGATAATATAATATATACTATAACTAGAAGTTTTTTTCTTTAACTAAAAACTAAGGAAAGACTGAAGAATTGGTTTTTGCTTGTTTGTTTTGGTTTGTCTTTTTTTTTTTGGTTGGTTTGGTATTTTTAAGACAAAGTCTTACTGTCTAGCCCTTACTGTCTTGAAATTCTCTTCTCTCTATGCAGACTGGACTGGCTTTGAACTCACAAAAATCTTCCTGCCTCTGCCTCTACTCATTATGTGCTGGGACTAAAAGCATGCACCACCATGCGCTGTTTTAGACTGATGGATTTTTAAGTATAAGAGGAACATACCAAACTCATATCTTAAGGCTTGTAGCCTAGACTTGGAAAATAGGTTCTTGTAGAATGTTAGAATAGAGCCTAAGGATGTGGACAGGACCACTCAGGCTTTGAGAGTCCAAACGTGAGGGCTAACTTATACTTTAAAAAAAGATTGAAGACCTTTAGAAATTAAAGTCAACAGGACATAATATGCTGCATCTATGAAGGTATGGAAGTAGTCATCAGAAATTACCTGCATACTGTTATTATGGCTGTGCTATTTTCTCTGAGATGTGGAACCGTGAGAGGAGGTGAATGGTACAGTACATCCAGGGCAAAGGTCCTTTAGAGGTCAAAGTACTGCTCAGATTGCTACAGACATTATTAAAATACTCGGATGTATTCAATATCTTTTGAAATGTTCTTAGGCTAACAAAAATATAACTTTTGTATTTAACCTTCTCTTATATGTATAAATGAATATTTCCTAAATCTAATTGTCTTAATTATTCTTAACCCTAATTATTCATTTTGAATGTCCTTTTTAAAATTAAAGGTGGTTTGTTGGAAATGTTCTGACTACAAAGCTCAACTTGAGTATGACGGTGGAAGATGGAACAAGGTTTGTAAAGACTGTTACCAGATAATAAGTGGATTCACAGACAGCGAAGAAAAGAAAAGAAGGGGCATTTTAGAGGTAAAAATAGTGAACTCTTCATGTTCTTAGATGACAAACTCTCTTAGTCATAAAGATGCAAATAATGTGTCTTACTTGGTTTTGCATTCACGCTCAGGGTAACCGTGAGCAGGAGACATTCTTTTATTCTAGTTTGTTGACCTTTGACTCCTGCCTGCTGATATAGAAAGGCGGGATGTACAAATTATTGCTTGGTTTGTTTGGGGTTTTTTATAGGAAAGCTTTCAATTTCATCACATTAATGTTGAAAACACTGCATAAAAATTTCAAATTTAGATAAAGTACTGTTTTATTTCCTAAAACATTAATTCAGTTTACTGTGTTAAGAGAGCTAGTTTTTATGATTATGTAATAGCCAGGGAGAACAGTTTCATGTCAAAGCACATCTCAAGCAAATCTGACTCATAATTTAGAGTTAGTTCAGGCTCAGCCACCAAGGAACTCAAAAGTAGCTTATACCTAAAATGGATTTACATTGAAAGCCATGTGTTGTTAAAATAAGGTAATTTGTATAAGGCCTTGTGGTAGTAAGGTCAAGATCACCTACAAATAGGATACCATTTTTTTGCATCCAAAGTCATAAATATACTTAGTTTATTAATAATGTTGAAAAATCAATAATTGTGTACTGAGCAGTTACAAGCAAATATACAAAAGTCATTTATTAGCTGAGAAAGGCTCTTAAATTTCAATATCCATTTGAGGTTAAATTAAAAGCCCACAAACCAAAATTGTACTTCCAAATTCTCCTCGGATGTAGTCATTCCTTGTATTACAGCCTGGATGAGGCTTTCGTGGTAGGAGGAATGGGGAGAGATGCTCCACTGGATTCTAGAACCACAACCTCAAGGCTTTCATAGAAACAGCTGATCAGTGTGACAAAGTACAATGAGTCTGACACTGTAGTTTGTAAAGAGAAGTTTCAGGCTGCATAGATAAAATAAAAAAATCTTTAGCTTTTTGGAAACCCTTATGCTTGAGGGAAAATCATGAATTTGATTAATTCATGTAATCACATAAAAATGTAGCATCTGTAAGTAGAAAATAAATGTGCTCATGTACACATAGAGTGTGTCTGAGCCCTTACCTTATACCAGTTAGTGTACTATGCACTCTAAAACAGTAGTCAAGCTTTTTGTAAACAGATTGATGAAAACCTTTTTATAAGCCAAGAGGCCAAAACAAGGATTTTACAGAGGTATTTTAAGGGAAAAAACATTTTTATTGACAAAACTTAAAGTATTTAACTCAATGCATTTGTAAATTTTTTCCATTTTTTGTGGTGTTTATGTATGTGTTTGTATGTTCTTGCCTGGTATGGGCACACATGTTTTGAGGTATATAGGCACATGTGTGTTTATGCATAGGTACCCATGACTGATATCAGGAATTATCCTCAATTGCTGTTCCACCTTACTCACTGAGGCAGGGCCTGTCAAAAAAATCCAGAACTCATAACTATGATATGGCTAGTCTTGGTGGCCAGCTTGCTCATAGGAATCTTCTACCTCTGCCTTCCAAGGCTGGAATCATGGGCAGGTCACCATGCCCACCGTGCATCCATGTGTGTTTGTGGGACTGGAACTCCGGTCTTCACATATGCAGGGCAAACACTTAACTAGTAAGCCATCCCCGAACCTGTAAGGTTCTTTTTGTCCTTTCAAACTGTTGTGCTACTGTTCAAATTTTTTAAGGAAAAAAACTTTTCAAAATGTAATATCGTTTAGTATGTGAATTTTTATAATATGGATTGGTTATTAAGAACTAAACTTTTTGAGGGAGGGTGGTGTCTTGTTAAGTGTTTGGTATCACCAAGATGGTTATAAACCTTCATCTGTTAAAAGTGTTAAAAGCTTATAGGATATACAAAGACCAGTGGTAACCTGGAGCTGACTTGCAGATTGTCATCTGGTTGCTGCTTCTTAAACTACCTTGGACCACACCTTGATTATATCCCAAACCACCACTTATCCATGAAAACCAAACATCATTCACTTGGGTTCTCTCAGGCTGGCTTCTCTAGAGCAGTGGTTCTCAACCTTTGTAATGCTGCATGTGACTCTTTAATAGAATTCCTCATGTTGTGGTGACCCCCAACCATAAAATTATTTTCATTTCTACTTCTTAACTGTGATTTTGCTACTGTTATGACTCATAATGTAAATGTCTGTGTTTTTCTATAGTCTTAGGTGACCCCTGTGAAAGGGTCATTTGACACCCTAACGGCTCATGCCCCACAGGTTGAGAACCACTGCTCTAGAGGAACAGAACTGGCAGAATGAATGTATATGACACAGTACAAGCTGGGTAGTCCAACAAGGTCCATCAGTATTTGGAAGAGGCTGAGAGAACCTGATAGCTATTCAGTTCAGTACCTCATACACCAATCTGGCACTAAAGGCCTACACAATTCTTGGAAAGTTGCTGATCTTCAGCACAGGTTGGAAGCCAAGCAGCTAGATTCTAGAGTCAGTAAGAAATGGCAACAGCAGCAACAATGGGGAAGATGTCTTCACCAGCAAGAAGTGAAGCACTGCTTTCTCTCTGGGTCTTAGTGGTCTGAGCCGCTGCCAATCTGTCTCAGTTAATACTAGATCCGTTTGGGTTAACAGTCAAGATTAACTACCACAAGTACCATAAAGCGTTATATTGCTTTGAAAGTCTCCATTGTTGTTTTGTTGTTGGTTTTTATTCTTGTTGTTGCTGCTGTTGTCTTGAGACAGTGTCTCACAAAGCCTAAGCTGTTCTTGACTTTAGCCAAAGGTGACCCTGAGCCTTTTCCCTTCACCTCTCAAGCACTGGAGTATAGGCATGCAGCTCCATGCCTGATTTGTGTTTTGTAGTTTGAAGAGTTTGAGAAGAAATTGTTACCTTCTGCCAGTGACTTATATTTTTACTGCTAGATCCATAGTATATAAAACTCTACATGTTTAAATTTTATTTTTAATTTTATAAATACAAATCAGATGGGATTTGTTTGCTTTCTTCATGTAAGTGCCCATATTGTGGCCTTGATTTGGACTCTGACCTTTTATAGAACTGTTTGCTGGCTACTAGTGTGAGCCTATATTAGTTGGCACAAAGTAAGGCCATACTGTTATCTCCCTTACATCCTGTGGACAAAACTGAGGTGGCACTACCCTACATAGGAAAAGAAGCAAAACAGTATACTTCTAGTAAAGCATCTTAGCTAAACGTTTCTGTTTCCCACTATCCAGTACTTAATATATTAGTAAGCGCAGCAGAAAGCTAAGTTGCTTTTCAAAAGTTTGCTCTAATGAGACTCTTGTACTCGCCTTAGCACTGAAGGTGACTGACGGCCACACCTTGCCTTTCTCACTGTATATCCTTACATTATCAGAACATTAGCACCATAAGCTGAGTATATTGACTCATGTAGACTGAGTTCAAATTCTACTACATCAAATTCTAAATATGTATTCTTTGGGAATCTGATTAAAAACTCTGAGCTTTAGAAACAATGAAAGCACTTCACTTGTCAATGTTGGTGTGAATAAGACACATCTCAAGCAAAAATGAAATCCGTATGGTAAACAATCAATAAATGTTGACTATTTAAGTATAAAGTCTAGTAATTTAGAATTAAAGACGACCTCAAAATATTTTCATATTTCATCCTGATAAAGAAAAACTATTAAATGCAAACATACCTTTTTAAAAGGCAACCAAAGAAGACATGCTATATACACATACTGTACTTTATAAATACTTCCCTTAAGGCATGTTTCATCCCCATTTGATTCATTTGTTTATTCTTTTTCTCCATTATATTTTCTAGATTGAATCAGCAGAAGTATCAGGAAATAGTGAGGTGTGCAGTTTTCTCCAGTACATGGAAAAATCAAAACCTTGGCAGAAAATATGGTGTGTGATCCCCAAGCAAGACCCCCTTGTGCTGTACATGTATGGTGCTCCTCAGGTAACTAAGCCATGTATATTTGAATGGGATGGCCAGGACAAAGTGTGTGTGGAAACCAACCCTCAGGAGAACAAAGAGCTCAGGCAGTGTCACTGTGTTCTATCTAATCTTAAAATAAGGAAGCGTTGATTTTGTTGATTTAAATCAATAGTTCTTCTTATAGTTGCTTATCATACATTTGAGAAGTCATTATCCCTGTTCATCTCTTATTCTTCTTTAGTAGATGTGAGAAAAGGCAAGTTGAATAAGGACCATAGGCGTGAGTAAGATGAAGCAAAGGGAGGTAAAGAGGGAGCAAGCCGCTTGTAAAGAGTAGACATAGTCATTTTGTGCTTGGTTTTATTTGTTGATAGTGCTAGAGACATAAGGACAAAGTAGTTGAAAGGAAAGAGCCTACATAAATCCTGGGGTAATAATCATCAGTAACAAGTTTTTGTGACCCATATGCACACTTAAGCTAGACACGTGGAGTCAGCTCTAATGATGGTTTACTTCTAATATAAGCCGGAACCTGGTATGTAGATTGGTTTGCTTTGAAAGCAAATAACACTTGAACCAATCATATATTTATGCACTTTAGAAACAATGTATTAAATTTGTCAGATTTTAGCCTCATCCTACATCAAGAACTAGAAAAAAATCATTTTTAGAAAATCCCTAAAAATGTCAAGGTATACTATTCTACTTTGGTGTTTTTTCTGACAATAATTAAGATGAATGAATCATTAAAGAAAATATGATTTTTAATCCTTAGTAATACTTGCTGGCTTTAAACATTGAGATTGCTGTTACTCGCCCTCCATCTTGGCTCTTCACTAAGTGGAGAACTGCATGGTCTTTGAATGAGCTTCCCACAGGAGCAAGCTTTGCACCAGTGTGATTTCACTCATCTGGGTGTCAGCTCTACTTCCTTCATTTTCTTCAGCCAACACCATTGTTGACTCCATAGACAGACACTAAAATCAACCTTTGTCCAAAGAGAGTTCATCAGTGAGGATCTGTGAGACAGAGGTCAGGAGAGAATTTGTAGGAGCAAGGACCACATATACCTATGTAATAATATGTCTTATATGTACAATGTCCTTTCCTTAGGATGTCAGAGCCCAGGCGACCATACCCCTCCTGGGCTACATTGTGGATGACATGCCTAAGAGTGCAGATCTGCCACACAGTTTCAAACTGACCCAGTCCAAGTCTGTGCACAGCTTTGCTGCAGACAGTGAGGAACTAAAACAGAAATGGCTGAAAATCATCCTTCTAGCTGTCACAGGTGAGACACCAGATGGCCCAACTGAGCATCTAGCCACCTTGAACAATCTCCCTGGACCGAAGAAAAAGTCAGAATGCTAAACTTCAGCAGCTGCCAGTATGGAGTCTCCAGTAACACATAGCTCAAGACATCCCCAGCTCTCCCTCCTCGTCTCTTAGCACTTTGCATTGAGAAATATGGTTTCATAAACACATCTTTTGGGGACTGCTTTCATATGTTTATATATAGTAAAATCAGTGTGCAGAGTCATTCTTCTGTTAAAGTTCTGAAATAATGTGGAAAGTGGAACCTTTTTTGATAAGCTATTCCTTAACTGTGTATGTTTGCCTTGAGAGAGGGGAAAAATGTTAATTGAATCACTACATGGTTATAATGGGCCTTTCATTTAAGAACTCCTTCAGTGTCTTGTTCACATGTAGGACTTGTACCAGTGTGAAAGATATACCTCCGTGTAACCAAAATAGATCTATGGTATAAAAAAAAAGTACAGGGACAGTTTAGAGTATTGTATGAACTTGTTTAGTTTGTAAGTCTCATGCTTTGTAGTTACTGTTCTTATACAACACAAAAAATTATAAGTTCTTGATGTTGATACTTTTTGACTTAATCTATTACTTGTTTTGTAGAATTATTCCTAATAATAAAATATCTAAAATATGAATCAATTTGCCTGTATATAATATTGAAAATAAGTATAAGTATGTCAGCTTTTCTCTTCAGCTTTAGTTTTGTTTTCATTCTGGTTAATTTTTTAAATACAAAACCTACTCTATTTCTAAACTTATCAGTGTTCAAAACTTAAGAAAAATTGGTAATTTATGTTGAACTGATTAGAATCTAAGTGTATTCATATTTTTATAGTAAAAAATCAGTAATTTACATGGTGTCAGATATAGTTTTAATTCCAACAGTATTTTTAGTGTACTATGTCTCTTTTGTTCTGTACCTCTTTAAAACAGTGCCTCTCTTAGAAGGTGCTATTAATTCTTATTTAGATAAAAGATGAGAGTTTAGTGAATATTAACTAAACATTATTATTTTTAACTACTCTGATTAGTCTCAACTTAAGTGCACTTTGGTCACAGAGATTTAAAAAAGTATGGATTATTTTACATTTTATAACAACATAATTGTCATAGTAATTTAATGTCAACATAACAAAAACCTTCCTAAAACTTGAACTATATAAGACATCTAACCTTAGAGACTCGGGATATATGGAAGACTTTGATTTCCTGTTTCCTGTTCTCCTTTCCATCTGACTGCTATGGATAGATAACTGAGGACCACATATAATGAACACAAAGTGACTGTGTGAGCTATCCCTTTGTCAGCTACAAAGCAGAGCTCATGCATGTGTCAGCTTATCTGGGAGAAGAGAGTTATTCGTAAAGGAAATTTATGCTTAATCATTCACTAGAAAAGATAGCTGAAACCAGGATTTCAGAATCAATAACGGTAGTTTCCGTGAGATGGGAAGCATTAAAGAAAGTGAAGAATTATTCTCCCCTTTTATCCCATGGACTCTCAGATGAACTATGGTTATCTATTATAAAGTCTGTTAAAGAACAGACTTTATTAGGTTGTGCTTGTGACTAAAATCTTATGTTGAATTGACTGTTTAACTTAATACTTTCCTCATATTAGAGGTTTTTTCTTTCTTTTCCATTTTCCAAACATTCTCCAAACTTTTACTGTACTGTTTACTAGGAATCCATAAGAATGTCTCTGCTACACACAATCTTTAAGGGCTACACTTGAGATGTAGAGTACAATTTTTCGGAATTTGAGACCACCACATTTATACAGCTCAGGTGGCACAAGAAACGGCTCTTGTTTTTTCTACTCCAGAGGAGCAAGGGAACCAATTAGGTTGCTTTCCTCCATGAAATACCAGACATGACTATTAACATTAAACCATCTATTTAGAATTACTAATAGGTGAAACAAAAAGCTAACTTCTTATTCCCTACTAAATGAGAAAGAAACTGTACACTGTTTCTCTTTTCTAGTTGTCAACATTGATGCTGTGTTTGAGCGGGAGAAAAGGAGCCAGGTGTGCAGGGTACCTGTTGACAAAATTAAACAATAACTATACATCTTACTTTATTTTTCATATTTCAAGAAAATAGAAGCAATAAATATGTAGAATGACTATCAAAATAAGGACAACTTTTGTAAATATGAACAGAATAATGAGTAGGCTAGCTCACTTAGAAGATTTACGTCAGATTATTTTAAAAAAAACTATTTGATCAGCAAGAAGACTACATGTTTGCCCACCAGCAAATTCTTGAATAGAAGGGATGTGGTTAGATATTTAGTGTAGTTTAACTTAGATTATTAAAAGGATACTCATGAAAAGGATGTTAGCATGCTCTTCATGTTCACTCAGTAAGGAATGTGAGTGCCAGAAGAGGATCTTCTGCAGTCACCACCTTTACTTCTCCCCACACTGAGCCAAGCACAAACCGCTTTCCTCGTCTCTCTCAAAATATTTTAGTAAAAAATATTACTTTTTTCTTTTACTAAAAAATTTTTAGTAAAAGAAAAAGGTAATAGAAAAATATTAATTACTTATTAAGAAGTCAACCCTGGGGCTAAGGAGAATTCTCTGCAAGGATGAGAAACAGTTCAGTCAGATTTCCAGAACCCATGTAAAGGCCAGGCAAGCAAGGCCAGCACAAGGTGGAGCCAGGAAGTCTTGGTGAAGGTGCTCTAGCCAGGTAAGCCAAAGCAGTGAGCACAGGACCAGCAAGTAACCTTGCCTCAAGGCATGATGTAAAGAGGCACCAAGGAAGTCACCTGACATCAACCTCAGATCTCTACACATACGCACAATCCCCTAAATATATGTGAACACACATACATGGACAGCGTACATACACATACATATTCAAAGAAACTATTTCAAATAAACTCTAATCCAAGAGGTTGTTAGAATAACTAACCTCTTTTTGAGATAAATGGGGTTTCATGATAAACTGAGCCTGAACATAGTATCAGTTCCTTTCCTGATCAAATACATGTTCCATATGGTTCTTAATTTCTTATTTCCTCTAATTTAGTGCTTTCAAAAGTCATCTTTAAGAAAAGTGTCCTTCCTTCAAACTTAAGAAAATATTTCTTTGGTAAAATTGTTATTCATTTAAAGCATTCCAACTTTCAACTTAATTGTTGCTTTTGTTGGAAGTCTACCATTTGCTAAAGGTGAGATGTGGTACATGCTTTTATCTAAAGATGTATGTGGAGTTGAATAATGAAAATGCCACTAACCACTTTTGTAATAATACCAAGCAATAAATTTCTCCAGGTGTGAGTTTACACCAAAAGTTTAACATGAAAGCCCTAAGCTACAGCATATAGAGAATCAACTTCCTAGAAGTGATATAGTAATCCAAACTGCTGAGCACGGGGGAAAGAAGGGAGGCATTGGTCCATGACTTCAGACATATCAACTGTTTAATTCCTACAAAGGCTATGTATAGTGAAGCAGTTTGTTTTCTCTGCTCTGTTTTATCAGCTGTGTTGTACATTATTGTGAAATGAATTCAACAAAAAGGCTGCCATACTGTCTTCATTGGATTACCTATACCATTTTTTTAATATAGGAACTAATCTTGCAAATGTTCCCTGTGGGATTTTCTAAACAAGAGTATCTGTTGCCATCAGAACTGTTTAAAGCAAACTATAATTCCATGGTACTTCAGGGTTATTGAAGAGCCACTGATGCCTTCTAAAAACCTCTACTTAAAAATACTTCTGGAGTTCATGATTCTGATTTGGGTTTTGTTTTTTTTTTTAGTTTTGTTGTTGTTGCTGTTGTTGTTGTCCTCCTCCTCTTTGTTGAGAGAGAAGGGTTTTCCCTCCTTCAATTATTTTCAGATATCATTTGTTTATTTCTAAAGCTTTAAGTTATTCAGAACGTATTGTCTGTAATGCATTCTTAATCATGATCTCTGTGTGTTATGGCAAATGAGCATGAATAAGAGGAAATCAATTCTCAGAAAGCACAGGTCTTATTTATCTCTGTTGTTGTAAAAGTAGAAGGTAATTTAGCTTTCCTTCATCATATGATGTTCATGTCAATAGATCTAAGATAAGCACATGGTATGTATAATCTAAAATTTGAAAGACTATCTTAGTGTTTTCATTCTTTAATGTTATGATCTTTGAGAATGTATGAATGTAAGAACGGAGGCTAAAGAGTTCCTCTTGTTAAAGTTACATTCACATCTGTAGTGAACCCTGTCACCTCTTCATTAGAATCAAGTTTTTATTTTCATATAACTATCAAACTATAGGTTCTCTAGATTTAAAAAAAGTATTGTACAACTAGATCTTTCTAAAAACTCTGTCTGTGACTTTATATATATAAATGTAAAAATGATTAATCTTCAATTCTCACCAAAGAACAAAATGTTATGTAAATTTTAATTTAAGTATTTTAACAAAATTATTCACATGTATTTTTAATGTTATAATTCACCTTTATCCAAGCCTGTCAATCTTGCTAGGTTACAGGAAGAGACAATGTTGCTTTTGTTATAGGTATAGAGCACTGAGCTTAGCAACTGAAAGGAATGAGAAGAACTGGATAAATGGGCTGGCTACTGGTATCCATGTGAACTGCACAAGGGAAATAAGGTAGAAAAGATCTATGTACTTGTTTGTTGGTGAAATCCTTGTGCTCAGGTTTGACCTTGGCCTCTAAATTATATCTTAGCATTACTTTATTTCTCCTTTAAGTTTTTACAAAATAATTTCATTCTATAAGCCATTTTTCTGCTATTTTTTACTCTAACATCAACTTTCTAAGCTAAGGGGAATGTCCAAATACTGTGTCTTTTCTGTATTTCAAGATAAAATAACACATGGCTTCTACATAGTTTATTTGTTGGAGGTGGGGGTCACTGAAAATTGCATGAAGATCATACTTTGCCCTATAATTCATTGTGGTCAATTTGATAAAAAATAAATTAAATTTTAGTATATTTTAATAAGTGAATACTAAATACATCAAATAAAAACAGACCATATAGCCCATAATGATGACAGAATTGCATTGTATATTATGAAATATGAAGACTCAAATATATAACAGGTATCATTAGCATATAATCATTCATATATAAAACCAAACTGGTATTTCATATTTTAAGGGACAATTAACTGTTACTTAAAAAAATAAGTATTATTTTGATTTTTCTTTTGACTTGTTGACTGAGTTTCAAAGGGCACATCAGAATTTTATAGTTGACACTAGTATGAAAATATAAACATCCCTATTTTGCAGTGGTGTGAATGTACAATACTTGGATGTGCTGTATATATAGTATAACATCTGTATATTTGATCATAAAGGTAGATAACTGAAAACATTGTAAAATTGAGCCCTTCAATTCTTATTAAATATGAAATGTTTGTATCTTGTAAATAAAGACATCCTTAAATTGGTTCTGAAGCCTTGGCTATTATTTCCATCAGAA